AGACTTCTATAAATGCTGTCACCATGTTCACAAGGTAAAATGCCTGCTTCCATCATTTCTTGTTAAACTTCTCAACCGCATGAACCTCTCCCAACTATCGCCTGTCAGGGAACCTTTCACAGAACGACGAGCATTGCACAGATTAAACATGAAAATACATATAAGCTGCTGGTCATGGAAGGGTCGTCGTATAATCAATCAACTCATCAAACCGTCACTATCAATGATTCAAAGCCATTTATTATCGATGGTCCTCATATGGCATTGAAGTACATGTCAGAATACGAGATTTCGACGGACTGCCTCTTCAATCACCCAAATCATCCCCATAATTATTTTGATCATGAAAGACACCAGAAAGACTTCTACTCCATTGCATTTTCCTTCACCCCCAAGAAGACCATCAATTCGAAGGACCTAGTTTGGGGCAATGACTTTGATCATCCTATTCGCGATCAACTACCATCCGATTTCAACATTGCCTAAAAAATTGCAAAGATACTGATTGACCCTGGAATCAATTGCGATGCTTACTCTAATCGGCCCTGGTCTATGGTCCAGCTTTGAGCTGTTGGTGTACGTTTCGAGTGGGCGAGCATCAAAACAAAGTTACGTAGACTAGATGATCAGCAGGACATTGAGATCCACTCAGACACTACCGGTGACGGTGTAATCCCCTTCTACCGTTTAGCTAGGGCAAATTGAAATCTCACGAACGCGTTTTTGGTTTTGGTTTGGAGCTTAAGGATTCCTGCCATTTTGCGACTAATGATTGCCGATAGATCTTTACCGCAAGCGGAAAACCGGTGTTTATTTCTGGAAGATAATGAACAAGACAAGTATCATCTTATAGCGATATGAGAACACGCCAAAGCTTGCCTTTATTGCTTCTTCTCCCAATATTCACTTCGTGTGCTATTGCTGTTGCATATTTTCCACCATATTTCCGCCCTGCTTTCTCGATTCCTCCTCTTGTTCCTGGTAATCGTGTTTCAGGAAAGTGCGCGCGAAGCGGGGGGATCGAAAATAGTTTTCGATTGTATGAAAATCTCGTCCATTTCCTCGAGAGATCGACCGTTCGTTTCCGGGAAGAGGAAATACACGGTGACGATGATGAGGAAGTTGGTAATAGCCCAGATGATGTAGTAGCGGTATGCGATGGTGTCAAATCCGGCCGGGGTGACTTCGACAACCACAAAATTGAAGAGCCATGTCATGGCATTGGAGAGACCACTGATCTTAGCTCGAAGATGGGGAGGTGCGACCTCCGAGGAGTAAAGGAAAGGAAGACCAAGGAATCCAAAGGTGTAACACATGTTGTAAAAGTAGAAGAAGACTACCGCCACAATCATAGCAGCCTGATTTCCCACCAATGACGCGGTGATTGCTAGAATGATCATGGATAGACACATGCCAGTTGCGCTTATCAACATGAGTTTCCGACGCCCCAAGCGGTCAATCGTCAGCACGGCCGCGAGAGCTCCGATGATCTGGACAAATGTCATGAAACTGCCGAGCAGTCTGGATCGTGTAGGATCAAGGTCCAGACGTTGTTGGAAGATTATGGTAGCGTAAAAAGTAAGCGAGTTAATGCCGCATAATTGCCCAAACGATTGGCCACAGATACCGAGAAGGAGGCGATGGACGTTGCGTTTCTCACCCATCCGAACTAGATCCCATTTAGTAGCATTTCCTAGCATTTCCAAAGACGCCTGAATTGCGGCGACTTCACTCTGGACCCTTTCTGAGCGGGGATCCGCATCGCGGAGAATGCCGATAATTTCCTGTGCTTCTTCCACATTGTTCTTTCGCAGATGCCAACGTGGGGACTCCGGCATGAAAAATATCATGGCCATGACCATCACTGAAAGGGGAGCTTGAATGATGAGAGGCACTCGCCATGAAACAGAACTGGCACCAAGATAGTAGAAGCCGAAGTCGATCCATTGGGACGCAGTGATACCAAAAGCAATGAAGAGACCCTCCGTGACGACATGAGCACCTCGGTGGGCGGATCCTGCAAGCTCAGACTGCCATACTGGCACTGTGGCTGTGATGGCACCGGTAGCCATGCCTTGTACCAGTCTCGCCACAATCAATTGGCCTAGGGAGTACGAGCAAGACATAAGAACTGCGCCAACAATCACTAAAGTTGAGGAGATAAAAATGATGCGGCGACGACCAAGCCAGTCTCCGACGAGAATGGTGCTCAGAGCACCGAAAAAGCCGCCAACTGTCCACAAGGCACTGACAGCACCTAAATGACCGAAGGTTAAAGAACATATTAGTCTTCCGCAGATATTCCCTCTGCTAGGTATAGTTGACAATAAAGAATGGTGGCGGACCTTGAATATTCGCATTCAATTTATTCTGAGCCCCAGTGGTATTAATGGTATCCAACTGGGGGAACTGCTCCACAAACGATGGAAGAGTGAGCAAGCCACCTGCAACCGCCAAATTGTAGCCCATACAGATATATGCGGGACAGACGACCAGGAACACGGTCGCCATGTGCAGGCGTGAGCCCGTGAAGCCGAAATAGCGCCCCATATTGAGATAGGCAGCGAGGCGTTATTGGGATATTTTATAAAGGACGAGATGTCAAGAATATTGTGAAAGCTCTCGGAAATTCCCAGGACGAGTGCTCTTAATATAGTCTTAATTCAAAGTTCCAAACGTGCGGAGGTCCTCCAGTCAGCTGTAAGGTCTCCGCAAATTTGTCACTTGCTGGGTAAAATAAGAGTCCCAGGCGGCATCCTGAAACAGGCGTTGGGGAAATATGGTGGCGTCCGAGGAACTAGACGAATTGAAACACAGCGAGACTGAGCTGTGGCGATTTCCAGTGGATTGCAACTCGCTTGAAAATTCAGAAAGACTGATGCCTGAAACTAAAATCCCCCATACTGCCTAACTCAAACTTTATTGGGATAAGGCGGGCCGAAAGATCGTTAGCCATGCGGTACTGCTGATGTACGTACTACGAAAACTAGGTTTTCATCCCAGGAGAGCCCTCCTTTTGATTGGTCACCAAAGCGTATCTTAAAAAAGCGTATCTTGAAAGCAACGTAATCGGTAAGCGAGTGGGCCCATGTAAGCGAGCGAGCCACCCCATAGTAAACAGGATATTTTGCAACCTCATATCTTAAAAGCTTTGTTCTACTTAATTTTCAGTATATTATGGTAAATTTTAAAGTTGACAGATGCCCAGTGCAGGATCCGTGGCAGATAGAAATCTTGGGCAGGTCTGTCCATCCCATGTCTTCATTTATGTCTTCATTTGCTTGTTTTTTTTGGGCACGCTTGAGGCCTATCCCGAAGTTGTGAAAAACGGAGCAAAAGAAATCCTTACGAGCTTTTACCTGTTGGTTGTGAACATTGATTCCGTGAAATCCTATAATTTCGTCCTCTTAAGCGAGGATTTAGAGTCTATCGATTAATCTACCAACCTTCGTATTCCGGTGAAGCATAAAAGAATGGCCCGATCTCTGAAAGGAATTCTAGCGGCACGCGTGCTGTCAGGTACGTGGGTCACAACTCCAAAAAAAAACCTCAATATTCGGGTGATATCGATTGAACGGCCCGAAATTTGAAGTTTAACTAACCCAAAGCCGATTTATGTCCAAGTGACTGGGTAGGGCTGAAGGCCATCCCCGCACCCCGTGACAACATCCCCTCGTGCGGGGAATTGGAGAAAGGGCCGACTTTTCGTCGCCGGCCCATTTGACAGTTAGAATTGGCGACCCATTTTTCTTCGCGAAAACGGCATTACACTTTACCTTGTCATGTTCTTCTTTCTTTTTCTCGGATTTTTTCTCTCAGTCACTTTTTCATTCCGTTCATGTTCGAAAATGACTCACACTTGCCAAACTCCTGCCATAATCTGCGCCGAAACCGTTTCGCTTAATTACCTTTTCCATGGAGTCCTGAAGTCCCCACAACAAGAACGGACAAGCCATTCATCCTCATCGAATTGCAAATATATATTGCCATTTTCAAGGGAACGTGACTTGGTAGAGGTCCTTTCGTTTCTGTCCAAAACCGGGGATGGCTCAGGCTACATCCCCGCAATATGTGTTGAGCAAGATCCGGCTGGTAATTCTCAAGAGTCCTTCTGCCCGTGAATAAGAGAACATGGAGTGACAGAGATGATATTCTTTAATCTTTGAAAGAACAATTGGATAAAGTCTTTAGTGTGCTTCATTTTCTTGATGCAGTAAGCTTCCCATTTATGTCCAAATATATTAGGTCTAGGTAATTACTTTACTATTGAAAAGGTCCCTAGTCTTATTTCTTGTTCTAATTCTAAACACTCTACAGAACAAGAATTACTTAATAAATCAAATCTATAAAAGAGTGGATATGTATGTTCTTGTCCCATCCCGCTAGCAGGTACACGTCATTTAGCTTCCCGAATCAACCTCGTGAACATGATCTAACACTTTATAATTACCCCACGAGTCACATGTATCACCCCTAAACACCCTAACCCTAACTTTCAGATGACTAATCCAAGACATTTTGAAAGTTAATTTGCGCAATTCTCAGCTGAGTGAGCCACCGGCACCCAGTTAAACGTGGTCCGAAATCTGTCTTGACTACGAAAACAAAAGCCTCAACACTTCCTAAATCTCTAGGAACTGAGTTAGAACAACTTCGGGCCACGCTCACTAAATTTCGGGCCACATTTAAGTGGAACCCGGTGGGCCATCCGGTTGAGCCGGCTACCCCAAAACACCATATTGAATGCGGGATTTTACATTCCATTCTTAGATTTGGATCGCTTTAGCATGGTAGGCGGTATCTTAACAGGTTGAGGATTAAAGGCCGAGAACCTGTTGCTGATCAATAAACCGATAGAGAAATCTTCCAATCATAGCTATCAAAAGACGAGAGGCAAAACCCTAAGCCTTTCTCCCTTTCCCCGCATGAGGGAATGGCTCCACTAGCCCTCAGCCCTACCGGGCGAAGTCGGCATCTCACACGTCTCTGTCAGTCTGATCATGGGCCGAGCCAACGTCCAGCTCGACCCTTTCATCCTACCCCCGGAGAAAGTCGCGAAGATGATCGAAGACTGCGGGTTCGACGTGGCGGTCCTGTCAACCGAGGAGCAGGCAGATAAAAGCAGTGCACCTGATGGACAGACAGCGCGAGTCTCGATGACCAACTTGTTGGTCGAGGATATGACCTGCGGCGCATACACTTCTGCCATCGAAAGCAGGCTCAAACGCGTGAAATGAAAATTTTGGCCATAGTAATGATGAGGACGAACCTCAAGATCATGTGAGGCACCAGTTCTTCAGACAAAAAAAGTGCATTTCAACGAGGATCTTGGTGTTGGAAAGAAGACGAAAACAAATCATAGAGGAAAGCTCTCTAGGTACAATGCGCAACAAACAGTACAAACGGCACAAATACAACATCATGTAATCCACTCTCCGCTAGCGTCCGGATATTTAGAGAAGGCACCGGCCCTATGTACAGCACCACTCAAGCCAAAATCAACCGCCTACCGGTGGTAAAAGCAGCAGAGGATACCGGACTTGCTCAAGAAGAAGAGAGATCCGATGAAGCGGAACAGCGACAAGCCGGCGGTCGTCCACAGGATGGCCGCAAAGTAGTGGGAAGTGCGGTTAGTCGATGTGTTCTGTTCCGAGTTAAGTCTGCCAGACATGCCATCGCAGAAACAGAAAACATACCGTGAGACACAGCCGCGAAACACCCTCGCTCGTGATGCATAGCGACACGACCAGATTACTGAAGATCCAGAGCAACACGAGGTTGGTTCGGAAGGCCTTGTACGAGTCGTCCATGTTCTTGTCCTCTTGCTCCTCAGGTTCGACATACGGCGCCAGCGCTCGCTTCACCGTTGACTCGAACTGACCATCGATGTCGGCTTGTGGCTTGTCCACTTCTTCGATGAAATTTGACTTTGCGTCATCTTTCTTGGTCTGCGCGGCCGGCAGCATGTCGGCCTTGTCAGATCCCTTCGTGCCCCAGGAAACATCGTGCCAGTTGCAGAATGCGTAAACCATGAGCACATTAATCGAACAGGTCATGCCCAAGAAGTACGCCCATGAAGAGGTCAACATGTGCCAGGGGTCCATATATAGGAAACTGGCCACAAAGTAGATTCCATATATGGACACCAGCGTGATCAGAATAATTCCAGCCCCAGTAGAGCTGAAGAAGGATTTAAGGAACATACTTATGCCTTTATCTAAGTTAAAATCTAAGGTGCCACCAGTGAAAGCATTCTTGACTAGGTAGAATGCTAGAACCAAAATGTAGCCCTGGACAATGCTAAAGTAAGCAAATGAGAGTGTGTACGCCAATCGCGAACTACGCTAGTCAGCACTCTAGATCCCGAAGAACGTGTAGTTTAATAGCTTACCCTTTTGGCCGATTTCCTAGTGCTAGGATGAACTGTAGCATCAGGAAAAAGAGGTATCCGTATTTGAGGAAGTTGTTTACAATTGGAGAGGCATCATTCCCGAAGGGCCACCCTTTGTATCTGTTGTCCGCACTGGGGGTTCCCACAAGATCCATGATGACTGATGTGGTTAGCCAGAACGAAGCTATAGAATGTTAGTAGCCTATGTGCGCAAGAAAGAAGGGCAAAGGAGCATATACCTAAGGAAAACCATGTCATGATAAGACTAGCACAATTGTAGATTATCTGCACATGGAAGAAGAATAAACGGATGATGCTGTGACTACTCCGGTAGATTCGACTGAAGTGCATAATGCCGTACAGACTGGCCGCAAATGATCCATTTAGCCAGCGGCGGCGCTGGCTGATGAACTCAGCAGAGCCCTCCGGAACATCCGTCTCAGCCTTGGACGCCTTCACGTAGGTCAAATGCCATTTGAACCCGGCCTTAGCTACTAGTTCAAAGCAAAGAATTCGGTCCTCGGCAAGGAACATATTCTTTTTGAAGATGTTCATGCCTTCGATACCTTTCTTGCCTAGCTGTCGGGAGAGTGTGTGATCACCATGGAAGTATTGTTCTAGGGGCTGACCCATGACAGCGCGGTAGCGGTACGCGGAGAAGGCACCCGGCAACACACTAACATACCCAAATGCGCTTTCCAACGGCTTGTCCAGAATATTTGAGATCTTGTACTCGAAATTCTGCGCCGCAACAAGGGGATTCATGACATTCTTCCAGCCAGGGCCTAACATGGCATGGATCTCACCACACGATCCACCCAAGTTTTTGTCATTGTAGAATGATTCCCACAGGGCTAGAAGGGATTTCTTGCCTGGTTTAGTACCAGCATCAATCAAGACGACCACTTCAGGATTGAGGATACGGCTGAAGCCATTGAATAGCCAACGGTGGGAATTGATCTTCTTGCTATTCTTTTGCTTCAAGCAGAAAATCATCTGGACAGGCGGGAGATTGGTCGCATCGTCGCCCTGGGGGCGAATCAACTGCTGATTGGGGGTGACGGAGAGCTGGGTGGTGTATTCGAACTGTTGCCCATTAGTCAGTGTCTCTCCACGGCTATAGCAGAAGACCAAGAATGGAAACATACAATGTGTGCCACGGTTTCTCTGCCGTCCACGGAACGCTTCATAATCCCATCCTGGTAGACCCCGATCGTGGCTAGCACATCGAGAGTATTCTTATCACAAGGGTCAATCCCATCGAACACTAAACAACACACAATCTTCTGCCAGGCCGGCCCCCCCCTTGTTCCAGAATTCGGACTTTTTCAGGTTGACTATATCTCGGATATTCTGCATGACACCGTGCAAAGTCCGCGATGTCAGCACTTTATCTTCGTTGTAATATGTGATAGCAATCAGCAACTCTGTGTGACGGTTGTATATGGCGGGTCGCAGATTGTAGCCCTTTCGCAAGGTAAATTCATCGGGATCGCAAGTGGCCGCCGTGTCTTAAACCGGGTCAGCTTCCACGAAAATCAAGCATCAAGAAGTAGCTACACGGCTACACTCACAGCGTAGATGGGTGAACTCTTCCGGGAATCCTTCCTCCAACTCCCGGTACTTTTCCTGAATGGCGTTCTGAATCGCACTCGGGACCGGGTAATCCACACTCAGAATCGAGCCCTTGACCAGCTTGATTTTTCGAGTCGGATACCGCCGCAGCTCGGAACCGGGCACCTGTCGCTGTTGCCAGGCTTCCGACGGGGTTTCTGACATGGGAGCTCGGACTCCGGAGGGGCGATTCAGTCCCCCCGCGGGTTCCTGGTGTGGGCCACCACGGAAGATGGTGTTGCCGGGATTAAACATGGTATAGCGACGCAGAGAATCGGTAGAGGCATAGGGGTCATCGAAGGGGGCATTGAAAGGACTCGGTTGGTTGCGGTAGAGCAAGGACTGCTGGCTCTCTGCGGGTTCGTTCTTTTCCTCACAGCCGTACGCTTTCTGTTTCACACACAGTATACATTAGCACCCCCGGGATTGTGTTTCCTAGCTTTCATTTGCTTACCTCACGAGACGGACCATTATGAGAATACAGGCTGCTCTCGCTGGACTGGGGTGGATGGGTCGAAACCGACGAGTGAGGCGAACAGGGAGACGTAGTGAAAGGCGTGTCCATTGTGAACAGCTCCCTAGTGGGCGATGGCATGCCGAGGTTCAATACTCAGAGCAATCGAAAATATGCAGCACAGCCAGAAAGAAGAATATCAGGAGCTTCAACACAAATGATCAGTTTAGAGATGATGAATCCATCCAACTAAGAGCAATGCAATAATAAATAAAGATCAGGCTAACAAGAATTACATTATTGAACGCGGTTGCCTTGAAGAAAATATGTCGATGCTTAACCCGCCGGAGATAGGATAAATCGATATTTTTAGTACCAGCAGCTTAGTGTTTTGTGGCTGCTACCCGTCGCATCCGTGGTCGTTATCCTAGTGGATCTACCGGTGCTGCAGTGCGCTAGCTCGGCGAGAAGGCAGTTCCACCTAGGTTGGTTGTATCAATATTTTTATTTCTCACTTCGCAGGACCACATCTACGCTTAGGACATGATTGCGAGGAAGTGTTGGGTCCTCAAAAAAGTCTAAGCGTTTACGACTGTGTCGCGTCTCCCAGTTTTGGCTCGGCAGACGAGAACTTGACTCCGTGTTCTGGATGAACCGCGGTGTGATTGCGGGTCGACCACACAATACGTCTTCACATTGGCTGAGGGGTTCTTCGAATCTATCACCGTCGAGAGTATCTCTTTCGTGAGATCTGTGAAACAACAGACCAACCCTGGATGCACGCTGATCCTGGAGTTCCTGTTCTTATGTCTTGGGAAATTACTATTATTCTCCGTTCAGCCAGAGTAGTGTGGTGCCTGGGTCCGGTGAAGAAGATTGCCGCGGTGGCGATAACGACAGGCAGGCAGGCAACAATCAGCTGGACGGGCTGATTTGACCGGTGCTAATCCACAGTGGATGTAACTGGATGTCAGATCAAGAAAGAAAATAAATAAAGAATTCAATTTGAGTACGTAGTCGACGGGAGATCCAAGTTGAGAAAAGGAAGAAGAGACAGAGGAAGAGTCTCTACTTATCTAGAGCAGTCTATGTCTTTTGTCACATGTCAAAGGCAGTCTTCAAACGCAGTCTTCAGTCGCAGGGATGCCAAACGCGGTCCCGTCATGCGTAGTCCCGTTAAGATTTCATCAAGCGCGATCACACAATGAACTATTCAAATATCTTAAAGTTTTAAAGCGACAATTGTAGCAAAAAGGGTTTGTCTTATCGTTTGCTTTCGTTTTACTTTCGTCTGACTTTCCTCTTGCCTTTACTAACCTCTTAATTAGGTTAGATAGAAGTAATAGATGCTCAAAGCCCTTAAATTCAGTGAACATAAGCTTCGTGAGTACTATGCGAAGATAGATACTAAGGAAATTAGAGATATCTATGCGCATAGTACTATCTTTGCTCTATAGCATAACCTATAGTCTTTTGAAGAGTATAGACTAGGCTAGCTGTGAGGGTCCAGTTTCAACAAAAAGGAAGAAGTGACATTCTACGAAAATCTTCAAACTAGAGAAAAGAAGAAGAAGAAACAGAAGGGAAAAGGAAACAGACAGACTAAATACAGAAGAGCAACAAAGAACGACAAACAGGATCACGTAATCCGGCTTGTGCCTTCAGATCTTCACACTAGCGGATAGGACGCTTGTTACTATCATAGCCTACAAGATCGGATTAAGGGTTATTAATCTAATGATTCGATATTAAGGACTTAGGCTAGGATATATGTCTCTAAGCTTAATAAAGTGCACATGGCTGCGTCTAGATCTCACTAGGATTAAGATGAATTAATATAGTTCCTTAAAGGAGGTAAGGCTTATCTCTGTTATATATTTACCCTTTCTTCTCGAACTAATCCTTTACATTTATATAGGCTTCGTCAATATGACCCCTATATAATTTTAGAAGGACTATTAACATAGTTTCGTACCCTAGCATGGGTAGCCCGCGACATCTTTTCCATCCTAGCAACTAGTGTTAGTATTAAGCAGCTATTTAGTTCAGCCCGCGATTTTTACTACTACCGCAGAGGTCGTCTAAATCATATTACTATCTAGGATCTTATGCTACATAGGTATACGACTAATTTTGAGATAGCAGAGGAGTAGCTTTAGTTAGTCCGGTCTCTATAAATCCCCAAGGAAGGGAAATAGAAGAGATATTGATAGGGTTTAAATCAGGGGAATACAGAGGCCATTTGATAGCGTGAATCCTACGACGTCAAACTACTCCAATATATGCTCTGATCTATAGATTACCGCACTGTATTACTAGAAGATAGAATTAGGTGTATAGACTTTAAAAAAACCTATCTTTAAGAGCGTCAGTATAGGAGATCGAGGAAGATTCGTTGCGAGGAGCTTTAGGATCCCGTTCTATGATCACTAACTTTGACTAGCCACTAATCTAAATTCTAGCCTAAACTATTTACGAAATATCTTGCCCATGGCTAGTTAAGTTCGTAACATCTTATTTAAAACTCTCGTTTTAGAAGCGGAAGACGAATTAGATCAGATATTCGATCCACATTATACGCTGTATTCGACATGGCATGTCAGGATAATTTTGGCACTAGCGTCAGAGTTAACGGTAAGTGCCTGAAATAGCTCAACGGCTATTCCGGTGTTAATTGCAACTGAGACAATGATGACATTGGCACTTTACAGGTTGTTCATCGATTACGGTAAGTCACCCATGTTACCGCTCATCACCGACAGCCGTTTATCCGGTTGAACCAGTTCGGAATGGAGCGGAGCGCAGAACCTTTGCTCAGAACCACAGAGTCCAAAATTCAGTCACACTGTACACACCGCAATTGTTCGGTTCCTAATACCTGGGTAGTCGGTCCTATGTACTTAGTATACTTGCCTTGAATGGTTTGTGATACTTGAATTCTCTCTGCCGGACCGTTGAAGTTTCACATGGACGCGAGTCAGCCACCATTGAGAGAGTTCTAGAAATCCAACCGTGTGGGCAGCCCTATCAACCCCAACTTAATGCACGGACCGGCGAAGTGACACGCGTCGTTGATCGGTCACTTACGAATCCCCCGCAACTCCCATAGCGTCCAGCGCATTTGTCGTAGGTCGACACAAAAATGCTTAAATGACATCTCATTGCCAATTTTTCTTTTGCTGTCTCCCACAATACGCTAAGTTTAGAATTTTGACGACATACATCAAGGCAAGGAATAATGAAAATCATGTGTCTCCAAAAAGTGGCCGACTCTGGGTCAAACTAGGCGAACAGAGAAAGCGGATCATATCGTTGGCGGAATGGTCCTCGGGGACCCACCGACAATGAATTGTACCACGAGGAACAAGGAACATTCCGGATTGCCACGACCCGACTCAGTGACGTGTGTGCATTGCCTCCGATGGAGGTTGAACAACACCAGACCTTGACAGCCACTGCTCATATATTGACGCAGGGACTCTCAGTCCTAGTGGAGGCGATCAAACTTTTTCTCGAAGAGGTCTAGCCCTCTACGACCGTCTTTGGCCTTTGCAACTTGAGGTATGGGTGATAAATCGGCAGTGAAATAAAGCTATAGAATCTCCCGGACTATTGAGTGTTTACACTTAGCTATTCCAGGCACCAAATCTGGAGGTTCTGCACGAGTACCTCAATCATCCATATGCCGACCATCTGGAACAGACGAGCAGGAGTCAATGAGAAGCCTGAACTGTACCTTATTACCATAGAAACAGGCTCGTGCACCGGCTTGATCCGGGTACTGGTAGGCATGCGCCAGTCGTTGTACTGAGCTGGTTTCCATGGAAGAGGCTGTATATGCCAATGAAATCGCGTTGACTGCACAGGAGGGATCCAGACTTGATCGAATGGCTTTTATGATAGGCCCTAGAGGTCCACTGTAGCCGTATCTCTTTCAACGGCGGCCATGAACGGATGTTCTCTTAGTGGAGCATCAACCATGGCCTCTCCTTCATATCTCAGACATTGTTCTTTTCTTAGAAATGACGTTTACTATGCCACGGCGTTGGCCTGCTCGGCTGGTTCGGTCCTACGACTGCCTGCTCTCTGAGACAGGCACCGGTCCACTTTACCACGGAAATCGACATCGAGCCAATACGGTAGGAATATCGGTTGACAAAAAGCCCTTCTTCTTTTCCCCCTTGACTTATTGGAAATGTCAGCAGAGCCATATATCCTGATTCGTGACGAAGTGTCCTGAATCCACTGTTGGTTATAAATACCCTCCGTTCTCCAACACTTGGTCCCCAATGAATCCCCCTGTTGCTGATCTATACTCAGTGGCGGATACCAAGCTCATAAGAACTATCAAGCTCTTTGTCCAAAGGGTTGTGTTCCTTCGTTTTTTGACTTCCTTTACTTCACTCGCTACTTTGTACGATGAAGAACTTCGTCACCCTCGCAGCATTTGCTGCCAGCACCAATGCCTTGGTTGGCCGCAGCAGCACCTGCTGCTTCCATCTGACTGCTTCTGGTGGTGTGTCTGGCTCAGTTGGCCAGCTGAACAACGGCCAGACCCGTGTTGGGGACAACACTCTGTCGCCAGCTCAATTCTGCCTTAACTCGTCCAACGGCACTATCGCTGATAGTAAAGGCCGTGGCTGTATCATCAACTGTGAGTACTTAAATGATACAGTTTCAATACGCAGTTCTGATAATCTTTCCAGCCGAAACTACCCAGTTCCAGTGTGGTCAGGGCGCCGCTGCCACCCCGGGCTTCTCTATCAACTCCCAGGGTGAGCTCCAGTTCTACGGCAGTGACAGCTTCATTGCCTGTGAGACGGGAGCGAACAACGGCAGAAACATCTACACCGCTGACAGCTACGATGTCACCATGTGCAAGAACGTGAAGCTGCACGCTGACTCTTGCTCGAGGCCTGGTGCTAGCGCTTCTTCGTCTGCCGTGGTGACGCCCGCTTACTCGAGCATCCCGGTCTCCCCTGTGCCTGCTTCATCTGTCCCGGCTGCTCAATCTACTCCTGCCGCCTCGCCTTCGGGATACACCGGGTCCGGCTCCGGATCTTCTCTTCCAGCTACTGAGACTACTCCCGCCGCTGCGTCTTCGCAATACCCTAGCTCCGGCACCTCTGTTTCAGCCCCGGCCGGCTCGGGTAGCCCCCCTCCGGCTGGTTCACCATATACCGTGGTGACTACGGTCACTGTTACCGACTGCAGCTGCTCGGCTACCCCTGGTGCTCCTGTCCCTGGTGCTCCTGTCCCCGGTGCTCCTGCCCCCGGTGCCCCTGTCCCTACTGCCCCTGCCCCCGGTGCCCCTGCCCCCGGTGCTCCTGTCCCTGGTGCTCCTGCCCCTGGTGCCCCTGCCCCCGGTGCTCCTGTCCCTGGTGCTCCTGCCCCCGGTGCTACTGTCCCTACTGCCCCTGGTGCCCCTGCCCCCGGTGCTCCTGTCCCTACTGCCCCTGGTGGTGAGTCGTCTGTTCCTGGCTCGCAGCCTTCTGGTCCTGAAAGCAGCTCCTTGGTCCCGGCACCCACCCTCGTTGTTTCGTCTCAGTCTGTTAGCACTGCTAGCATCCCTGTTTCCTCGGGCAGCACCTACTCTTCGGTACCAGCCAGCGGCTTCCAGTCGTCTATCTTCTCCACTATCCCTGCTAGCTCGCGCTCGGTAGCCCCTTCTGCCACCGTGCCTGCTAGCTCGCGCTCGGTAGCCCCTTCTGCCACCGTGCCTGCCAGCTCGCCCTCCGTTGACCCTTCTGCCACCGTGCCTGCTAGCTCGCGCTCGGTAGCCCCTTCTGCCACCGTGCCTGCTAGCTCGCCCTCCGTTGATCCTTCTGCCACCGTACCTGCCAGCTCGCCCTCCGTTGACCCTTCTGCCACCGTGCCTGCGAGCTCGCGCTCGGTAGCCCCTTCTGCCACCGTGCCTGCGAGCTCGCGCTCGGTAGCCCCTTCTGCCACCGTGCCTGCGAGCTCGCGCTCGGTAGCCCCTTCTGCCACCGTGCCTGCTAGCTCGCCCTCCGTTGACCCTTCTGCCACCGTGCCTGCCAGCTCGCCCTCCGTTGACCCTTCTGCCACCGTGCCTGCCAGCTCGCCCTCGGTAGCCCCTTCTGCCACCGTGCCTGCCAGCTCGCCTTCCGTTGACCCTTCTGCCACCGTACCTGCCAGCTCGCCCTCGGTCGCCCCTTCTGTGAAAACCTGAAGGAAGACCGCAGATCTGAAGGAAAACTGCAGATCACATGATCCAGTTTGCTCTCTTTGTCTCCCTCTGTACTTAGTCTGCCTGTTTTCCTTTCCCTTCATCTTCTTCTTTTTCCCCTCTAGTTTGAAGATTCTTGTAGAATGTCATTTCATCACTTTCAGTGAACCTGGACCCTCACACTAAAAGTAGTATAGCGTTTTGAGATCGTCGGCCGTATGATCTTAATCTTCCTCGTTATAAGCTTCCCTAGCATCGTTAGCATAGCTAAAGTAGCACTAGACATTAGTTCGTTTATTCTTATCGACGTTAACTATCTCACCTAGCCGACTTGCAGTATAAGCCGATACTAGCAAAAGAAAGGCTAGTTAGATGGTTTATCGACTCTCGGGGTAGGGTGTTATATCTTTTGTCTAGTAGTAATAGTAGAGCACAATATATAGATCATCGACACTCACAGTAGGTTTCTCTCCGATAGATAGATCGAGTTTATAACGTGGGATTAGGTTCTATTTTATGTACTTCAGCTTTTTTGTTTGCACCTAAAGATATAAGGTAGTAAGAGTTACCTACGTTATTAATATCCTAAGAGCTCTTCGCATAACGTCGTCCTATAGCTTTTCGATAGAGCTAGTAATATTTCATTAAGGCATAGGATAATAAGGTCGGTAGTATGGTTAGGACCGAACATGTGTATCTTTTGTTCTGAAAAATAAATTGATAAGCTATATAAGAGGCATATGATCACCTCTAAGTACATAATTAAGCAATATTTATGCTAGTGCAGTCATCCTCAAAATATTCTCGTATCCTAGCGGATATCCATGGATATCCTCAATCTGCGGATATGGTATATGATCCAATAGCCGATGGAGAGGATATGCCGCAGTCTCGTCGGGGCCAATGACTAGAAACTTCTACCGACCGCATTTCTCCCTAGGCGATCCCGGTAGAATAGCTGCGCGGGACCGCGGGCGCACCGACGTTTTGTGGCGGGGGTTCCTGACCGCTTCCGCCGAACTTGGCTCCGAGAGGTACTTAAATACTGTCGTTTTAGTACAATGCAAAATCATGCGTTGTTTCCCGAATCTCACTTGTTCAAACCGTGCCAGGTCTGAGTCCAGGCCCAGTAAATTCACGTTGCCGGTGAGTTTATTTTCTAGGAACCGGCAAATCTCTTGTGGCGAGTGTCGTGAGCTGTTGGAGGGTTTGAAATGCTGCAGCCTAAAGGATTCCCACTTTTCTGCTGTATCAAGTATTCGCCTATATGAAGGGGTTTTTTCAGTAGGTGTGGAGTCCAGCCCTACTGTAGGGCTGAAGGTACGCAGCCAATCCCTTCAGAGCATAAGAATGAGAAACCTTAACCTCAACTCCGCCGCAGTAGATTTGGGTTATGCAGCTCAGAATACAGGCCCTGTACCTGCCAATGAGGCCTCGCAGCGCCATTTCTCCAAGGTCCCCAATAATCACGACTGGATCCAATTTGAACCATCAAGGTACCTATGTGCCTCAACAATTGTGAGGTTTCTCGGAGCTCATGAAGTCAACATACGCCCTGGATCAGTTTCACTCAGAGTATAAATAACCAGTGCACACCCAGCTTCTCATCACCAATTGTCGACGCTGCTAGTCATGTCTCAGCCACAGAAGAGTTGGGTGTCCAGCGTCAAACTCGCCCTGGCAAAGCCGGGGAAGCGCTATCCGGTGCACTCCAGCCAGCAGCTGATGGTGTCGGATGAACCGTCTTCCTCCGATGGCACCTCTTCCGACCTCAGTCATCACCAGCCCAACGAACTCCGGCCATCGGCGTGGTTTGAAAGTTTCACGACATTTGCTGGCTCGACCACTATGATGATAATTATCCTAGTCGTCATACTGGCGTGGATCATCGTGGGCATCATTTTCAAGGCCCCCACCACCTGGCAGATAGTGATGAACGACAGCAGTTCGATCCAAGTATACATCACCAACACGCTCCTGATCCACCAGCAGTTTTACAACCATCACCGCACCCTTAGGCTGTTTGCCGACATGCGCAGCAGAAGCCTCTCAGTGCGGGAAATAATCACCTCTCTGCTCCAATGCCGTGTTCCGACTTGCCATCATAGTTATGTTACTGTTCACCACCACAAGAGCAGTCAGCTGACGACGGAGAGCACGTACGACAAGTGGGTCAACCGCATTCTGGCCACGGTTGGATCTTGGTATTCAATAGCCATCTACTGGACCGGCATCGTCATCTGGCTGGGACTCGGCAACTCGGTGCAATGGGACAACAATTGGCAGCTGGTCATTAACACCGCTACTGCCGTGGAGCTGACCTTCACCACCGTCTTCCTACAGCACGTACGCCATCGCCAGTTAAAGTTCATCGAAACGTCCGTGGACCTTGTCAAGGCTCAAGATGAGAGGCTTCTTGAATATCTGCGTCTTATCGGTGGCTGTGTTAAGCAGGAGGTGCCTGAGGTCGAGATTCCGTCACAGCGGCTGGGTTTCGCCCATCGTTTCATCGACTACTATGCAGCCGTTCTTGGTGGTATCCCAGGCATGACCCTCTTCGTTGCCGTCCTGATCTCCTGGCTTGGTGTAGGCCATATTATGCAGTGGAGCTCAAACTGGTGGCTGATATTCGGCACCTACACGGGCCTGGTCTCCTTCATCGACGAGTTCGTGCTACGGAACATTCAGATGCGCGACAACGAGGAGCTAGACGTCGAGCTAAGCAACATTGTCTCTATCGACAGCGCTAGTCTCACAGCTCTTGACAACCAGTCCCCATCGCCAGCCTCTCTGCCCCAGGATACCAATGCTGCCCTGAATTTAACCCAACGCATGTTCCAGATAATCGTCTTCTCAGTTTCCTGCTGGCAATCCGTTATAGCTTCGTTCGTTTTCACCTTTGCCGTTATATTCGTCGCATCGGGAATGCGCTGGAACTTGACAGGCCAGTTGATCTGCAACACTCCCACAATGATCATTGAGGGCTATCTGATGATCATATTGTTATATGGACAACACTCATCTATCACTAAGCGGGGTATTCAGTTTGACGATATATTGCTCCAGCGGACTACACTGTTCAGCAAACTTGAAGCTTTGTATCCGCTTACCAACGCATCTTCGAACACACTAGAGATAGATAAAAAGACCTAGTTAGTCTGCGCCATTACCCACGATTGGGTAGGCGAATCCTACCCACAACCTAACCCACTTGAAGGGCTGTGGTACCGTAATGTATGCTGCGACTGCCTGGCCTCAATAGCAAGGCTTGACCGCTACCTCGCTGCCGCGCAGGGATCGCACGCATTGGTGTAAGTCGAGCGGGGAAAGAGACCTGTACATAAAAGCCTCGCTGGCACCTGAGACTCAGGCGCCAGCGATCAGTCTTGGAAATATACTGAGTCGCACCTAAAGCCTCCCTGCGAGTCTCTGTTACCCCAATCCGTAAAACCACTATACGGGTGTATCGTGAGACACATTCCAACAATCCACCACCTGATTCGCATGTGGTATCCCAAATATCGACTTATGTTCTGCTCCGCTACTAAGGCCACCCGCCTTTTGCTTAAGCAGGCTGAGAAAAATTCAGGCCGTAGAGCGGGGGTGCCATTGGTAGTACCAAATCCACATGGTCTAACTCACATGCGAGAGTGTTCTAGGATGTGTTCATGTGTTGGCCGAATGATTTTAAGACTCATCCTCCTGCTCATTTTAGGAGCAGTGGTGAAACGAAGGATTTGTCCTCTCTATAAATAACGCATTTACTACAGTGTTTTGGGTTGGTTGGTGTTGGACCTTACATGATGCTAATTGGTCTACTTTCATTTAGTCTCCTGCAGCGCCCTGGTTAGCCCCTTTTTACTGTTTACTCGGTGTCATTTGACAACATCGCGTACAATCACTCCGCCTCTAGAGGACCGCAAGTGCGGTAATCTTACGTGCGGGTTCTCTGTTCAACTTCACGTAAGAGGAGGCAAGCGCTAAAAAGCCGCACGTATCCATCCCTCAAAGCCTGCACCAGCCAATACTTATATTACATTTATTACAGCCCCTCGTTTGACGCGTCGTTTATGTTAAGTCACATAAAGAGGCGGCTTAATTTAAACCAAGAACCATTTGAGGGCCACATTTTGGACACAGCCGCAACCCTAGTTACGATAGTTAATACGGTATACTGGCTTACATATTCTCGAAAAATCACATCTTCCCAACAGGGCTCCCAGACAGAATCATTGTGGCTGAACATATTTCTTTCGAGAGATCGATATCTGGGAAAGACTCAAGACCATACACAGCTCGCATCTCATATTCCAATATTTACCTGATCCCCTCATCTTTCTGTGCAACATCTGAGCTCGTCGTTGCCTCAGTCTCGTTACATATAGCCCATGAGCTTAAGGAATTCAAGTTGTCGCATTTCACCACCGACCTTGAGCGCACGTTTTAGAGTGGTAAAACGATCATAAGAGACGAAGCAACCTCACTAATAAGCCTCTCTCCCTACCTAGCGATGCTAAAAGAGAACATCTGGTCGAGTCCATCACGTACTACCACAGGATATTATATCAAACACAATAAAAATACAAACGCACTACTTGCCAGGCTGTCCTTCTGGTATGGATAGCGTGATGTCCGCAACCGTATTAGCAAACACGGCTTCGGGCTAGGAATCCTAGTCTCAATAAATAATTCCTAAAAAGGATTCTCCTTTATCCTAGCTTTCTTCCACCGAGGCAAGGGCGAAATGTGTTGTCCTACAAAGTTGTTCAACGGTAACGCAAGAGGCTCATCTCGCCTACGGTTGAAAACAGTGTAGGCGAAGTCAAGAAACACAATACGAGCTAATCGCTATTGGTGGGCAACTCAGTATGAATATGATTATTGTAGACAAAAATGCGCTCTCTACTCTACTGCTTAAGGCTATGTTATTGTTATTTTCATCTTTTTTAGGCTTTTTTTTGAAACACACTAATGCATTGTTACATTCATCCTACGGATGGTCTGACTATCACAGGGAGCCTAACGGGATCCCTATGCGCAGAGACACATGGGGGCTGAGCACCAATTCACACTATCGGGAAGGCCTATGCACTTAAAATAAGCTAAGTCGGGCAAATGAAGACTACTATTAATAGTACAATTGATGTATTGTTGGTCTCTTGGGTGCATCGTACTACATGAACTTCTAAGAGATGCAGATCAGGTCAGCTTCTAGTCATAAGATCAAGAGACAATACCAGTATAATCTAGATGTTCAATTCACGAAAAATAACAAATCTCTGATTCTGTAACACTAAATAACTCGACAAAACACATATGAGCCAAACAAACCAGCACTATACCCAGCAGGATTCAGTATGGGAACATGAATTCTGACGGACACAAATCTTTTTATCACTCTCAATCAGCGAAATTAAATGCCTCGATAGGAATATCACATCCAGCCGGTTCTCTATTAGTCACATAATCAGAATTCCAGGGGCCAGGATCCTTATTGTCCCAATAATCAGCATCTCCGGGTGGACCACAGGAATATAGCACGGTTCTATCTTCGTCTCCCCAGCACTGTATGACGTTCCGCGCTTCAACGTTTATGCCACGTCCTGTAGTAGCACCCATAGAGCCGGAATTAGGAGCATATATAACTGTCGTCCCTTGATCGTACCACTCGACGAAGCCGAACCCCCCAAAGCCTCCTTCCTGCACCATAACGGTATAGGCAGTCACCGCTTGGTAGAATAGAACACAAATTGCGTCTGTGTCAGAGGCACAATCGAAGCTTGCCGAGTTTGTGACCGTCGTCGACTCACTGACGAAAAATCCAGCGTTGAAGAAGGCGGCTGTTATCCCGCCGGAAATTGACCATGAAAACCCCACCGAGAGCCCAGATGTCGTCGTTCCTGGACATGTGACCACTGTCCCAGACTTCTGGGTAATCATGTAGTTCTGATGGGGGTTTGAATCGTCGATCGTTTTTAATCTATACAAGATATTATCCCGTCGAAAATTCGAAGTATCGAGATCGTCGCTATCGTTGCCGAGATAGTTGCCCTCTTTATCCACGATGATGTACTTCATAGTAGCGAACTCCTCCGAAGTTATATTCAAAACCATTGGAGAGTTAGAACCGCGTACGTAGGAGGATGTTGGTGGAGAAGGAGTAAATTCATAGTGATGCTCGCTCCCTATATCTGGCATAGGGGAGGCATAAGCTAGCTTAGAAAGCAAGGTAGCAACGGCTAGAAAGGTGGTGTGGAGATACATAATGGAAGGAAAGAATAATGGAGATGTAGAGGGGATAGTCATCGAGGAGGTGACAGCTTTATATATTTCATAGGAATGCTATCAGTGTATACACACAATGCTCTAGCGCTATTTAGTGCTATGTTGGCATATGCAGTGCTCTTAGTGCTGACCGGCTGCTTTCTATAGTGCGTTTTCTGCGTGTCTAGTGCGGACGCTAATCATAGCGAGAAGGGCGAAGGAGTCACCTAATTCCCAAGCGACCGCGACCCGCCCAACCAACATGATCGCTCCCCAACGCGTCAACTTCCTCATTTCAACTACCCACTATGCCCTTTATTCGCACTAGTAGGCTAAATCATAAAGTATTATAGCATAGATATCTCTAGATGGCGAGTACAAAAACTAGACATAATGTCGATCGTTCCTTACGTATACCAAAAGTGTACTGGAGTCTATATCTAAAGTAGATAAGGAAGATTGACTAAATGCCGCCACTATCTCATCTCATTGTAGACGGTTTCTAGATCTTTAAGGAGCCTATAAAGAGACGGAAGCGATGTATCAACGTGCATTAGAAGCATAAGAGAAGGTACTTAGACGCGAGCATCCCAACACGCTCACCAGTGTCAGTAACCTTGGCCTAGTGCTTGACAGTCAATGGAAATATGAAGACGCAGAAGCTGTGAATCGAAGAGCACTAGAATGACATGTAGAGGTATATGGACGTGAACGTCCACAAACGCTCACTACTCTCGATATTCTTTAGACTTACTGGATCAACGAGCAACTTGCAGAAGCTTCTTAATCCTGTGTCTCCAGCATTAGTGTAAAGGCAGCATACATGGCGATATAATACCTATACCTGGTGGTTTCCTTGCAGCACTGCATATCCTCATAGTTTGATGCGTTCCCAAGGTACCTCTACTAGAGTTATGTTTCCTTCAAGCAGGCCATCTAGTTGCGGACAGGGTTGTGGGGCAGCCGTTCCGTCTAGTGGCGCTAGTAAGTTCCATACATCAAGTTACATGATTGTTACCTCACCGTGTATTCGCCATATCAGTATTTTTGATTATGTACTACTGCTGCCAAGAGTTCCACCACAATTGGTATATCCTCAGGTAACATAGTTTTGATGAGATAAAAACTAGTCTAGATAACTAGGTATGCGAAATAATGCAACATTGTCTTCGCTATCTATCTCAGACGTTTTTGTGGATGATCTAGGCGTCATAGTAGTGAACAACGGATTTTCTAGTAGTGCGTGTCGTCCTGTAATCCGCCACTCTAGCACTTTGTGATCTTTGTTTGAAAATAACTATCGAATAAGAAATCAAATGGTTATTATTTCTGCTGCACTCAGACGGTATTTAATAATTGGAATGGGCGTGACGGTGCTCGAATATGCAGGTACCTGATAAGCGTTTCATCACACAGGGCATTTCACGTCATCGGGATGGGGGTTACCCTTCAAATATGTTCGCTATTCAAGATGGTCAAATGTAATTATCTTGATCCTTTAGGATTTAAATTAGTGGGATGTTGAGATGCATGTAATGAGAGATCACCTTTGGTACCACTCCTAGACTTGACGTAGTAGCTAGTTGAAATGGCTTTTCGCAATGTGCTTGTTCATCGAATAGAAGACATCGATATTGACAAAGAATTCAAATGGGTCTAATTGGTCTACAATTCTGCCCAAATCGCGGGCCTCGATAAGTTTCATGGGTGGCCAATGTTCAATAATTTGACTAGAGAGCGGTGAAATTGACGCACACTAGTCATTGTTGAGCGAATAAAATAGCTCCTTTGATTGTTGCTGCCGAGTGTAGTCATACGGATATCTTAAGTGCCTCCTGGGCCAGCCCGGCATCGACGTCAACGCGTCAGACAGGAGCGGCCACAGCTCTTTATTCAGCTTCTCGGCGGGGGCATACGGATATCGTCAGGTGTCTCCTGGGTCAACCCGGCGTCGACGTCAATGCTTTAGAGAAAAGTGGCGACCAAACAGCTTTCCAGTTGGCTTCTCAGTACGTAAATGCAGAAATCTTGAGGAGATTCCCTCATTTGCTAGTCAACCTGGGGAAACCACTATGATGCGGCCGTCACCTCTTGGATTGAACCGCGAACAAGGCATTGTGCTGTCTTGTTTACCTCTTCTTTGTTGGAAATATTGAAATACCAGGCTGAACGCGGCAGGTCATGAGTCATGACAAGTCTTAGCTGAGCATCTGCGGAGAGATCTCTGACGGAGTTACTTCCCCTGTTTTACGCCACACTATTCTACGTTGCTATCGGACCTTTGACCAGAATATATAAATCTGTATATTGAGAGCTCGTCGATGGGAAGTTGATATTTCGGAGAACAATAAAGCAGTATTAATGGTTGTCAAAAAGGTGATGGAAGTTGCCGCCTCGGGGAGCAATCGGCTCTGAGATCACAGGGTGAGCCATTCACTTAAGCACCCGAAGTGGAGAGGCGATGCGAACGGACTAATACCACTAGCCGGCCTAGAACAGCCAACTCCAGCTTCAACTTGATGCTGTAGACCATGGGTTTGAGCGTCGTCTGGATGACAAAGAGGTTCAAGAACTCAACCGTTAGCAAGACAATGTCGAGCATAATGATCAATAGGTTGATGCCGATAAGCTGGTACAGGATGTTCGTGGAGCGATGGGGTTGGTCGAACGTCTCCATGTCCAAGCGGACCATCTTGACGGTTTCAAGAATGTATAGCCCTGAGATAATGAACTCTTGCAGCGAGAAGCCGATTAGCTGGATGCGCTCCATGACCCCGTAGCCGTTGATATAGGCGGGTTTGGTACTGAAGTTAGAGCCATAGGTCAGGACGGTAGTAGGAATTTGCAAGCAAATCGCATTAAACACGATCATAACTAGAACACGGTGCAGGACTTTGGGGTTATGTACGACGAGGTTGAGCCGTGAATAGAGGACGACGGCCTGCCCGGTGACCATGAAATACCAGCCGATGGTCGAGAAGGTAAGCGTAAACCAGAGGGGGGCGAGCGAGTAGTACTTGAGAATGAAGCTGATAGACTGCGGGATGACACCGAGCACAACGGAGACCATCAAACTCCAGAAGTACAATCCCCGATAGTGTTTGAACGTCGAGAAGATGAGGATGACGAGTTCGATTGAGTTGTACAGTGCGATCACCAGGAACGTGGTGAAGGTGACTTTGACAGCATAGTTGTTACCGTCGTATCCTCCGCGGACGCCGTTAGCGGAATCGATATCGGACATTTGCTCAACCCAACCGCCATGCGCCCAGAAGGAGCATCAGAGGAAGCAGAGCATTGTAAACTGGATTGGTGTCTGTGATAACTGATCGTAGGTAGCTCGACGCCTAATCAGGGAGGGCAAATTTAGCACAGATTTCAGGGCAACATGACCTCATGTGATTATATAAATCGGCATGGAGCACTCTGGGGATGGCATCGCAAAAAAGTGGCGACAAGCGGGGTGGCCGGCAGGTCTCACCTAATCCGATCGATCCATGGGTCCAGGGTTCTTGGGCCTTGGTTCCTCTCCCCGTCTACTCCAAATCGAGAGTAGGAAAATTGAACCGGAACACTACAAATAATCCTGCAACCCGCCTTTTTATCACAGTAACTACCGGAGTGACAGAATGTGTGGCGGCTTCTCCCTCAAGCGTGGCCAATTAGGGGGAATTAATTTTCACAAAGGGTTTGCCACGGGAAGAGCGAGAAGTCTGAGCTGAGAAAACGATGGTGACAGGTGAGGGTGTGGTGCCAGAGCAGGTCATTGCTATTACAGAGGCTAGTAATAGCGCAAGCCAGAAAGTCTTGCTGAGAGCAGGCTTTCAGCAGTTCGAGAATTTATGGAAGCAGATGATTCTGAGCCTGAAGGTTCGTGAAGCTGGTGGCCTATACCCTAGAGGTAATGTCACTGCGGTCGTCGGGGGGGGCCCAGTGACATTCCCCCCGTCCCCATTGGTCCAAACCCTCCCCGGTGCGTGCCCCCGGCCCCTAGCGTCCCGTGCCCCGAACCCGACCAACCAACGACCCACCCCTTACACTGGACTATATGCCACTATCGATGTTTCCCTTTTCCCTTTGGCTTCTTTGGCTTTTACTTGCTTTTTACTCCCTCTTCCTCCCCTCACTCGGTGCCTAGATCGATCGTGACCTTGACGCGCTCTCGACGCGTCGTAGCGTAGGAGATGACCACGATGCCGCGTCTCACGCACCACCACAACACACAACGTCGTCAATCTGTCGCCGCTACCGCATATACAGACGCGTGTCGTAGTTGGAGCGGTTGCTAGTTCCGTTCTCCTCTCTTCTTCTCTCCTCTGGTTCCTCTACCATCTACTCATCGTCCTTTTTTTTCTTTCCCCCTCCATTCTGACCCCCCCCCCCCTTTTGGCCGCTCCCTCCCTACGCCACTGGTTCACAACTATGGACCTATTCGCCTGGAATCAGACCTACCGCATCTGGGTTTGTAAGACCTGCGAGCATGGCGTTCCGCCGCGAGGGATCTCAGGCCACCTCGGCTCGAAGAAACATCGCGACCACATAACTGCGAGAACGGGCAAGCAACGAGCCGCGGCCGCCCAAGAGGCCTGGTCCGTCGACCCGTGGGACCCTCACGTCGAACCATTCCGCCCCCCGCCGCCGGACTCCCTCCCTCTCCCAGAGCTCCCTGTCTACATGGGCTGGGGCTGCCTAGAGGACGGATGCGATTCGTACGCGGTACGGACCCCACAATCGATGCGACAACATCGATATCGAGACCATGGCATCCGCTGTCGTCTAGGGCGCCCTGACCCCTCGAAACCGTCGCAGCAGCCAGCCCTACGTCCCGTCAGCTGCCAACGATTCTTCCCAACGGGCCGGGGGAGTAGCTATTTCATTGTGACGCCTACTGTGCAGGTCCAGCGGGCTCGGCACGTCCTCGAGATGAGCGAGGCGGAGTTCGTACAGACGCAGGTGGCGGACGCGCTCCAGCGCTCCGATAGGCTCACGCGGGCCGACGAGGAGGTCGCGCCTACGCATAGCGACCCGACCGAGTACTCGCCGTGGCTCGAGCTCACGCGGTGGCCGGAGTACGTTCGTGGGCACGCCTTCCGCGATCTGGCTATGCTCGCCGCCCTACCCGATCCTACGGCGGAGCCGATCCTCCAGGCCGTTGAGCAGAGCGTCCAACGGCTAGTCCAGGCGGCGTTCGACTCTATTACTAGCTACCGCATCAACGAATTCGACCAGGTAAAGATCAATAGCTTCCTCCAGCGACAGGGCGTCTGGGACCGCCCCATCCACATCCGCCTCCGTCCTAAGACGTACCGCCGGTATCAGCAGATCTGGGTACGGCTAATTAGCTTCGTCATTCGGACTAGCCGGCCTAACCAGGCTATCGATCTAAAGCACCAGCCTACTACGCGGCAGCTCGAAGCTGTCGACCGGATCGACCAGTTTGCCCAGCAGCTCTTAGGCCTAGAGATCGAGAACGGCCTAGAGTCCCTAGACGCAGTAGAGTCCCCAGCCCAGGAACTCGGCCCGTCAAGTGGGCCCAAGGGCACCCGTAAGAGCTCCCCCGCCCAGCGAGCCATGGCCCAGCTCGACCGTGCATGCCTCGATCTCTCGATCGCGCTCCTCGACCACGAGCTCCGGGGCGATCTCTTCGAAAGCCCCCTAATCGGGTTTATGGCAACGATCGGGGTCGATGTACCGAACCAGACGTACCGCGACCCATTGAGCTACACCGGGCACCTGTCTGGCTTAGTTAAGATATCGCAGATGCTTGTAGCCCAGCGGGCTGTACAGCTCGCGGACGACGGCGAGGTTGAGCATCCGGGCGACGCACTCGACCGCATGCGGGAGCGCTTCCTTATGTTCGGGGTTCACGCCCCCTTTGGGTGGATCACCCGGCTCCGGGCCTACGGCAAGAAGATCCAGAACACGACGACTAGTATAGGGTATATCAACTGGAACGACGACCACGACGCCTTAAGCTATCGGGAGCTCCACCTAACTATGGATGGCCTTCGACGATTCGTCCGCGTAGAGGTCGAGCTCGCACAGTACGACCTCGAACGACTCTTCCTCCTTAGCGAGGACGACGAGCGAGAGGGGTAGTACCGGAGCTCCCGCTACATCGGCTCGCCGACGATCCGGTGAATAATAAGCGGGGGTGGAATTTCCTCCAGGACCCACGCAATCAGGCCATCCTGCTAACCACGGGCCAGCAGTGGCTCCTACAACGCGTTCTTATGAGCGAGTCGCTCCGCAAGGAGTTCACCGAGGTACAGCGGTCGGACTCGAGCGTGATCTGGCGCCCACATGCCGTGAAGGAATATCTCAAGCTTGTCGATCGATTCCTACAGCGGCTCCTCTTACTCGTATTTATGACCGGAGGACAGCCACCACGAGGGACGGAGTTGCTAGCTCTTCGGCACCGGAACACACCAGAAGGGCGACACCGAAACATCTTTATTGAGCATGGCCTAGTGAGTACGGTCACGGCCTATTCTAAATCACAGCGCGTCACAAACACGACGAAGCTCATCCATCGCTATCTCCCCCAGGCCGTTAGTGAACTTCTCGTGTACTATCTGTGGCTGATCCTCCCATTCACAGAGGCGGTGACTATGCTTTCACAGGGGAAAGATCGAATGAACCAGTCCCCTTTCCTATGGCCGTACGACAAGGGGCACTGGGATCCCGCCCGCCTTGGGATCATCCTCAAGCAAGAAGCAGCAGCGCAGCTCCAGACCCGGATTAACGTACTGTCTTGGCGGCACGTCGCGATTGGGATCTCTCGTATGCATCTTAAGTGCGGTGGATTTAAGCGCGATTACGGAGTGGAGGATCAAGTAGTCGACCAGCAGGCTGGGCACGGGTCGTGGATGGCGGCTACAGTATACGCGCGGGGGTTGCAGGAAGCGCCTGGAGTGATCGAGGGCCGACGGGTCCGGTTCCGTGGGATTAGCCGTGAGTGGCATACGTTTCTTGGCTTTGCAAGGCCACTTAGTCGCAAACGCAGTTATAGCGAACTCGACGTAGGGGGAGAGGCCCCACAGCGAAAACGTAGACGGGAGTGGATCACGTTCGAGCTAAGTGGTGATGAACGGTAGGCCAGGATCTGATGTAATACCAATTTCAAACGTCTATAGATATTCAACATACGCTTGTGATAAAGTCTAGAACTGAGATCTACTTTGTATAGCATAGTGTAGTGTAGTATGGCAATAATAGCACGATCGAATCGTCTTGAGTCTACAAATATATGTAATATATAACGAGCCAGCATATATATCTAGCATAACAACACATATCGAACACACACTCACTCGCCACGTACTAAGATCTAGTTTATATATTATAGTTTGGGCGATTATAAAATGATTCAATTGTCTTATTATGCGAATGGCTAGATTTAGAATAAGGTAGTATCTTAAAGTGGTTGGATCAAGAAATTAGTAGGGTGGTACGCCGTCCTTACGGACTACATATACTAACCTAATTCGGCTTAGTTCCCGCACTTACGCGTATAAGGTTGCGTTAGCGCAATATCAAAACGACTCCATAAGTACATCACGCTTTTGACGTTTTCCTTCATAACTCGACCACTATAGCAGCTACAGAGCCTAGATTTGGATATAGGACTTATATTCGGACACCCTAGCCAACGGGGGTATAAGGTACGGGCACCATCCCATATTGGGCTAAGGCCTTAACTATGGGATCGATTTTGGCGCTAAGGGGCCGATACCTAATGCTTTCGCCGAGTCGCCCGAATGCCTTCCCAGCCCTAGCCAACGGGGGGTAGTTCACTCCGTCGCGGTGAACTTTAGTCAGCAATCCTAGCCAACGGGGGTGGGAGCAGCGGACTCGCCTGGCATAAGGGTGTAAGTCTATACTATAGATAAGAAAAGTGGGGCCATAAGCCTATTTCCGTTAGCAATAAAAGCCCACTACCATAAGGATTACTTGTCCAATAAGTATCAGAGTTTAGTATGTGAAAGAGCGATAATTAAATCATACGCATTTTGAATCGGAGTCTAAAATTCCGATTCGAAGGGGTGGTTGCAGGGATATAAAATGGTCGGGTTATTTTGGTTGGGTAAGATCGGGGCCACCCCCGACCAGCATCACCATACAATAGCGTCGACTTATCATTTTCAAAATTAGTCTAAAGCGGAAGAGATTTTCAGGGGTTTATTCAGGGCCTCGTCGTCGTATCCCATTTCCATTTGATCATAATCTGAGTGGTTTTGGATCTACGTCGATTACAACCACGAGTCAAAGATATACCACGATCAATTACATATATCTCCATATACGATGTCGACTATCCCCACCGCCGACCAGCTATTTGCACGAGCGACGCCATTTCCCATCATTATATGCCGGCAGTGCGAGTATGCTGTACGGCCAAAGCAGGTACTTTACCATTTAACCCACAGTCCGCATCGAATCCCCGTCTCGGTCGCCCGTCAGGTCGCCCAAACGATTAGTAATTGGGATTGTATCGAAGAAAATCCCGATGAACTTCAGTACCCCATATGGGTCGATCAGCCCATTAAGGGCTTACGTACTTATAACGATGGTCTTTTATGCAAACGAGGTCAGTGTGGCTACGTATGTCGGAATCTTAAGACGATGAAGATCCATTGGCGCCAGGAGCATAGTTGGTCTATACACGACCACGCAGGCAAGCCCCAACGATCCGAAATCGAAGCTAGTCAGCAGGCGATACAGGACTCGATGCTTCCAGTCATCTGCCAGCGATTCTTTAAGCATGGCCATGGCTCGCATTACATCCACGTTCGCAAGCCCGGCCCAGATCATGAACCCGTTGGACCGCCCCCCGCGCGGATGTAGTCGACCAACTCATCCAGCAGCTCGAACAGACGTACGTTGAATCGCAGGCCAACAACGACCATACGATCCAGGTCGGCCCGCTCGATGAGGCGAACCCGTGGCTACGACGGACGCAGTGGGCCACATATTTACAAGGTGCGTATTGATTCGTCGATCGTTGGCTTGACGGTAGAGAGAAAGAGTTTAAGCACCCCATCTTAGAACCCGGGTTTTAAGGAATGAGCTTAAAACCCAGGTTCTAAGGTAGGGCGCGCAGCCCAGCTTTGGCGGTTGATCGATTGATCCACGATTTGACTGACCAACGGCTCGTAGGCATTTCCCCCGCGATATACTGAAGTCCATCAAGACCCCCCCGGAGGACGCCCAGGGCCCAGAAGGGGCTATGCGCGCCATCTGGGACGCTATGGATGGGGTCGCGCGGATCAGCCAGCGCATCACGAAGCAGACGGGCCATCTGATCCGTATTGAGGCCGCGCGCACGGAGAAAGACCAGAGCCCATACCAGCCGTTACAGGCGTACATGGATGAGGAGCAGATCCAGCGGCATGTCGAGCCATGGCAGCAGATCGTGATGTTTTTCGCCCGCACCCAGGTCGAGCACGATTGGCAGAGCCCGCCATACCGATTCACCCCCCGCCAGCGACGGGCATGGCAGGCACTATGGCGGTGTGCCCAAGACACGCGTGGGAGCCCCGACCCCATGGACAGCCAGGGCCAGGATCGGGGCCAGAGCCAGGGCGACCACACCGACGAGGAGTATCAGATGACTTCGATCCAGACCGCATGCATGGACTTTTGCATTGAGCTATTGAACCAGCGCATCGGCGCCGAAGAGTACGAGTGTGCATTGGTCTGCGCATTAGCCGTGCTTGGTCAGGGCCGTGATCGATGGCGGGACGCGGAGAGCTATCCCCCGATTTTGTCCAAGATGATCAAGATCAGCCGATTCATGGTATTACACAAATCATTACGATTAGATCCACGGGCCGAGGCGATCATCCAGTACATGCGCGACCGTCGGGAGCTCAGCGTGTGGTCCGTGGAGAGCCCGATGGACGATGTCGACTATACATACGCTGGGCAGGACGAGGGCTACGGGAGCGAGAGCGCACCAGGCAGCGCACCGAGCAGCGCAGCGAGTAGTCCCAGGAGTAGTCCCGGGAGTAGCCCAGCGTTTGAGCCCGTCCATCGTCGGGAGCCGATGCAATTCAGCCAGCAGCAGCGACGGAAACCACGACCGTTTCGCGAATGGCTGCGATTGTTGACGGACACGTTCATGGTCCGCGGCACGCATAGTCCGATGCAGTGGATGCTCGATTTGCGCACGTACGGTTTACGCATCCATTACAGCAGTACGGCCACCGGCCACGTGAGCTGGTCCGGCCAGGACGAGTTGCTTTACAAGGAGGTCCATTTCACGATGGGCGATTTCCGGGGCTTTGTCCACGGGTTGGTCAGCTCCATGCGCCAGCTGCTACACGAGGAGCTATTGATGTGCGACGCCGCCAGCGCCCCCACGATCCCATGGGACCAGATGATGGACGACCCGACGCAGCCCAAGCCCGGGTGGAGTTTTTGAATGACAGTCGCACGCCGTGGCCCGTCCCCGGGGCACAGTGGCTGATAGGGCGGATCCAGAGCGAGCCCCGACTACAGCAGCGGTTCATCGACGGCCCCGAGCGTCGGTTCCGCATGCGGGCCATCGAGCGATACATGCAGAACGTGGTGGAGTTCCGCGAGAAGCTCAGCGTCGGCATCCATGTTACCGCCGGCCAGCCCGGACGGGCCCCCGAGCTGTTGAGTATCCGTCATCGCAACACCGAAGGGGCCCACCGCAATGTATTCATCGAGGACGGGCTCGTCGTGTTCGCCACGAAGTACCACAAGGGGTTTTATGCGAGCAACGACGCGAAGATCATCCATCGGTATTTGCCGCGCGCCGTCGGCGAGCTGGTCGTGTGGTATCTGTGGTTGGTGTTGCCATTCGTCGAACGATTGCAGGCGTTGCAGCAGCAGGTCCAGGGCACCAGCGAGGAGACCATCCAGACCATGCAAATGCGTGCATCGTACATCTAGGGCCCCGACCCCCACCGTGGCCGCGAGTGGACGTCGGAGCGATTCCGGGAAGCATTGAAACGGGAGACGACCGCCGGCTTGAAGGGACGCGCGTTGAATTTGCTCGCGTACCGGAACATCGCGATTGGCATCAGCCGGCGGTATTTACGGTGGTCCAGTGCATTCCCCGACAACGTCCAGAGTGAGCGAAGTGCCGAGACGCCCATAGACGAAGATCATGAACCGGGGATGGACTACGACCAGTTCATGGGCCACATCGCGGACTTACAGGCGGCGCATTCATCGCACTTGGCGGGGATGATTTACGGCCGCGAGATCACCGAGCAGGCCGGGACGACGGCGCACCGACGGGAGATGTTCCGATTGTCGAGCACGGATTGGCACCGGTTTTTAGGGTTCGAGAGCGCGGAGGACGCACTAGGACGGGTGCTGGGGAAGCGCAAGGCCGGGCCGTGGGAGAGCGAGGCCGACGAGCGGCGACGGCAGCGCCAGTAGCAGCTCCACCAGGCGAACATGACGGAGGCGTTGCAGCGGATGACCAACGACGACCAGAGCCAGTTCCGCGGTATCCAGGGGCCGGCCATGCAGGCGATCCAGCATGGGGTGAGCCCCGTGGTCGTCGTGATGCCGACGGGCGGGGGGAAGAGCATGTTGTTCATGTTACCGGCATGGGTCAGCGGCGGGCTAACGGTGGTCGTCGTCCCATTGATTGCTTTACGCCAGGACTTGCAGCAGCGATGCGCGGTGGCCGGCATCTCGTGCGTCGAATGGGAGAGCCGGCGGCCGCCCGACGAGGCGGCCATTGTACTCGTCACGCCCGAATCCGCGTTGAGTGAGGATTTCATCACGTTTTTGAACCGACAGCAGGTATGTCCCCCCGCGATCCGAGACCCCAGCCGGCGCCCCCAGTTTAGAACCGGGGTTATAAGGATGCGTTCGAACCCCGGTTTTAAAACGGGGGCCCAGGGATTAGGGTTGATGTCCCCATGTCCCACCGTCACCAACTGAGATGCCCCCCGCGCCCGCAGCTTATAAGCTGGGTTTTAAGAGGTCAGCAGAGGTCCGCTTAAAACCCAGGTTATAAGGTAGGCCCGCGCATCGGGCTTGAGGTTAGCATCGACGGAGCATAAGATCCATACTAATGTTCGCCCAGGTCATGAAACGGTTGGACCGCATTGTGATTGATGAATGCCACATCGTATTGAATCAGCAGCGTGATTTCCGGCCCATGATGCAGCAGCTTGGACGATTGATGATCGCACGGACGCAGGTGGTTTTGTTGACGGCGACATTGCCGCCCAGCTTAGAGGACCGATTATGGCAGCGCATGCGATGGTCCCGGGAGCAGGTCAGCTTGTTCCGTGGTCGAACCAGCCGGACCAACGTGGCATATCGTTTGTGGCGTCCGATCATTGAGCGGGAGTACAATGGGCCCCATCGTTGGATCCAGATGGATCATATCGCAGCATTCATCCGGGACCGCATCCGACGATCGCGGGGCGGGCGCACCATTGTGTACGCGCATATCGTCGAACATGTCACGACGATGGCGGAGATACTTGGGTGCGAGGCGTATTACCATGACCAGCTTGATAAGGCCGGCGTCTTAGAGCGGTTTCGCAGCCAGCCCCACGGGGTGGTCGTGGCGACGAGTACATTAGGGATGGGAGTCGACATCCCCGACATCCGCAGCATCATCCATTTGGGGCGACCACGAACGTTGCTGGATTACGCGCAGGAGAGCGGGCGCGCAGGTCGGGACGGTCAGGCGAGCGAGGCGATCATCATCCAGCCCGACGGGGTTGATACCCCCCCGCCGTGGATGCAGGACACGCCGTCCGCGGAGCAGCAGCGGGTAGATGCATATATGTCAGCCAGTCCATGCCGGCGGGTCGTTTTGGACGGGTATTTGGATGGCGTGGTAGATGGATACCAGCGATCCCATTGTGGGGATCACGATTATGGTTCGGTCACCAGTGAGGCACGATGTGATGGGTGCGACCCCGATTGGCAGGTGATAGAAGAGTAGGAATCCAGCGAAGCTGCCAGTCCGAGAACCAGCCCAGAAGCCAGCCCAGAAGCCAGCCCAGAAGCCAGCCCAGAAGCCAGCCCAGAAGCCAGCCCAGAAGCCAGCCCAGAAGCCAGCCCAGAAGCCAGCGAGACGGCCAGCAGTATTGATTCCGAGAGCTTACAGTCACAGGCACCATGGGAGAGCCCCATTCATGATCACATACAGACCATGGCGGCCGGCACAGGATCCAGTCATCACATACAGACCATGGCGGCCGGCACAGGATCCAGTCATCACATACAGACCATGGCGGCCGGCACAGGATCCAGTCATCACAGGCAGACCATGGCAGCCAGCGCAGAATCCAATGACCACAGAGGTATTCCATTTGGGGTCCGGCAACAGTTCCAGCAGCAGGAAATTGATCGCGCACGCATGTCCGAGCAGCATCAGCAGGCGCGGCAGCAGGAACTGACAGACGAAGAG